CTGATGCTGCTTGGCCTGCTGTGTTCATCCAGCTCTACACCTTGTTATCTCCACTTCTTTGTGGTTGGATTTCAGCAACATTCAGATTTCTTTTATGTAAGAAAGGCCTTAAAAGGCATTAAGCTTTTTTAAAAGAATTTAAGATTTTCCAGGATTACTTGCAAATCCTTCTTCATTGTCGCTGGACCAAAGTCCTGGAAGACCCTGACTAACAGCACTTTACAACACCAACTAACAGCACATTATTTTCACCACATGGGCTACAGCAGTTAAGGAAGGTGTTTGGCCGTCAGCTCCTCAAGGGGGAATTAAGGAAGCAGGAAAGGTTGGTCTCGCCATTGATAACCCAGATCGTGTCAATAAATAAATAGAAAGATAGATCTAGAGTAAATTCTCCACTTTGTTTTTGTAGAAAATCACATCAAAAATCTCATAAAATTACAGTTTCATCCAATTTGTATTAGAGTGCAATTGGTTGTGCTTCAGGTAGTTTATGGAATGCACTAGTTTGAGTGCATAAAAATAACTTTTCTTTCAGAATTAGATCTGCTCCTGATAGAAACCAAGGGGAGGAAATGCATTTTGATAATTAAAGTTGATTGACTGACTGATTCTAAAACCAATTATTGAATGTTGACAAATAATGGAATATAAGAATACTGAAGAGGTTTATTGGACCTATCTATGAAAAAAAAGTGGTGCTGATCAAATAGAACTTCATGTGGTTCAGACAGACTTAGAATTTTACTACATTGTTGGAGACACAGCCATCCACTTTCCTGTTGAATCCTTTTAGCATTTAGTTTTGAGATTCAATCTAACACCACATAGCTGGTAGGGATAAATAATCACGAGCTGTACAGCTTTTTAAAACAGGACGCGAAAATTAAGTATCATCTGGGCCCCAAAGGGTTCATTTTTGAACTGGCTGTAAACTTGGTGTCAACAAACATTTTGGAATCCTGATTATGGAACTAATTTGGGGTTTAGTTTTTATTTAAACAAAGCTGCCAGAACTCATCAAATTTTAGGAAGCGTGTTCTGTTTGAGCATGTGAACATGAGCAATGACTGGGCAACATGACGGGAGGAGGGTCAAGGAAGACAAAGCATTTTAAAAGGATTTTCTGATAATCTATTATTCCATAATATGCTTTAAGTTGGCACTGGAGGTTGCAGAATATGGAATTGCACCAGTCTAATTTTGGTTATATATTCATTCTAACTCTTGTTAATTTAGGATTTGGCTTGCTGGGAGAAAAACGTATCACAAAACAACTCGACGATATTCGATGTGGAAATCCTTAATATAGAATTGAATGGGTTGATGGACCCGAGCCACGATGTTGGCTATCCACCCTTGAACTTTACAACTGAAGAGCAAAAACATGCAGAAATAGCAACCTCTAATCTGGAAGTAGCAACAACCACATTTGGAAACTCTGCAAGTTGAAAGTGTTTTGACTTTGTAAATAAACTTCTACTAAATAGGTTTGAATGCACCGAGTTCCTTTTTTTGGAATTTTCAAGAAACTGCATCTCACCTTCAATGAAATGTTCAAGCTTAAGAAAAGTGAAAGATTTTATGGAACTATTTTTTAAGTGGGTGTATTTAATACATAAATTGTGTTGCTTCAAGCTGATTTCTAAATGTATCTGCAGTTTTTAACATGTATTCATGGAGTCTGGTTTTATTGTACTTGACAGACCTTGAAGTATTCATGTGTGTTGTTGATGTGACACTTGGATTTCTGAATGTTTCCAGTTTTTTGCTGTTCCAATCATAAATCTGACTTGATAGTCCATTGTAGATTATGTATTAAATTCATCATGGATAAATATCTTTGTGGAATTTTGTAACACCTTTTCCAAACATGCTATATACATATACATTTTGTAGTGGTATGCAAGGAGCTTTGTTCCATGAATTCAAATATTTTAACAATATTCCAGTGATTGGAAACACTGCAAAGGCTAGTAATTTGGTAATGACTTATAAGAGTAATTGTGGTTTCTGTCAGTGTTCAAGCAGATCTGTGTACTTGGATGTTCAACTATAGCCTTAAATGGAGTCATCCTAATTTCTGAATGTTGATTGGAATATGCCCTAAGGTGGTGTTTTTGGATTAAACCTCATTGAAATAGACTGTCAAAGTATACAACAGCACTTATTTGGAGAAGTGAAACTAAACAGCATATTCTGACTCTGGACCAAAGAAATAAACAATGTGCTCAAGAAAGGCTAAAGTAAACCAAATTGACATGTATAGGTAACTTGTCCAGTCTTTGAAATCACATAACAAGGGGACAGTCCAGCGCTTCATTAAATTCTCTCCTCAGTATTGTGTTGTAGCTGTTCTGAAAGACCAACAATTTTCTTTAGATTATGTATTTGAGAATGTGTGATGTAGGACTTACTCTGCAGTGTCACATCAGAAAACATAGACAACTAACTTATAAACATTTTTAATTTTTTTTAAGAAGTCCTGTTTTCATAAAACATCCTAATTGTCAGCTTTCCTTTTGGAAATTTTAACTTTATGCACAAGTTATCCATTGATGCTAGGTATTTTAAAGGTTCTCTCAAATAATGTTTAATATGATATGAATTGTGATAATTTTATGACAGTGTTCTACTTTTTGCCTTATTTGACACTGGGTAGCGAATTAAGAAATTGGTTACAAGTTTATACACCCCATATTGGGGTTTCCAGGCAGGAATGCTGATATAAGGAAGAATTCTGGGTAGTCTCTGATCTGTAGGACTTCTGGTGTCAAATAAAGCTAGAAGATTTACTGTTGTGTGGGCATTATCTCTCAGTCACATACCCAAAACACAGGAATGTGAATTACATGTTAGCACTATTTTATTACCTGCCAAAATCCTTGTGGCCAGTTTACTGACTTCACCGTTCTCCCCTGACTTCCATGTGAACGTTTTTCATTTGAGAAACTGAGTTTGCCCGGCATTCTCAAGTTAGAAATTCCTCTGCTATTTTCAATGGCCCCTGGACAAATGATGGTGGGCCTGTGACGCCGGAGATAAGAATGAGTTTGATTCTGCAGAGTCATGTTTAGAGGCATAGGCAAAGCAGGGCTGCCCAGTCACTTTAATTGTTTCATGAAATAAATCTCCACTCTGGTTCCACACTTTATACTGTGTGAATTTGCCAAACTAATTTAAAGAAAGTGTGTATATTTTTTTCCTCTTTCCTTTCTCTCTTTGTCTATCTGTAAAGGAGAGAGAGATAATAACATACTGTGAAGGAGCATGTAGTACAGCAAGTCTAAGATTTGGGAATAATCTAGAATACCCATCATTCTTATTTTCTGCCTATGGAATATTTTGATTTTGAAACTTAGTAGCTGCATAATGCGCCACCATCTGAACTAGCAGCTTTGCCTCCAGAATATCATTGATTTTGTTCCTTATGTCACATGTTGCTCAATAATTGAAATGATTGAAGCATCTTTTCCGGACTGGAGGCTGTTTCCCATCTTTACAAATGTTGATCAATAAAAAAGCTGCAGTTTGGTTTTCTCTTCTATATCTGCCAGACCTCATAGCCTGCATTAACCTGTTATGTAGCAGTGCCTTAATTCTGTCTGGAGTCTCTCCTGAGCTTGAATGATCAGAAGCTTATATTGAGAATCAGCTATAGACTTAGGCCCAACACATTGCATTATCACCTATGATTCATTTCAAGCATCATTGGTCTTTCTACGAGTTTCTGAAACGTAAGAATGAAGTTACTTATTAAAAATTTACTCTTAATATTTTTGAAGATTTATTAGCACAAGTTAATTTAATTGAAGATTTCATATTGTGATGTTAACGCAGTGCCACCTTGCTATTAATGGAAAACAGTGACCTAATTTTTTTTGGCTAGTGAAAGAACTGAGCTGCTGAATCTTATCAGTGTCAGTGTGTAGCAGATCCTTCTCCAGGAGTTTCATTTGATTTTAAAATGCACAATTTTTCTATTTCTTTATGGGATGTCACCTACACACAAATTGTTATTGCTGAATAAATGATTGCAGAATGTGTGCCAAGGGCTTTATTGTAATGTTGGCTTGAAGGAAATGCTGAGCTTGACATACAAAATAGTTTTGACGTCATGAGAGTTGATCATTCATCCAAGAGTTATCATCACCAATGTAAATAGTCCATGGCATTAGCTGGGCTTAATAACCTGTCCAAGTCAATTTTAAAAATCCCATAGAATATAACCAGTCACTGTTTAATAAAAGTTACTCAAGAAATCACAAGTATGTTATACAATTATTTTGCTTCTCTTTAAATAAGGAAGACGGCTTAATATTACGATTTGGTTTGAATGCATCTTCAACTAAATCTATAGTTTAATTTTTAATCAGCCGTTGGCATTGTTTTTTGAAGGAGAAATAAATTTTTAATTTACATTGTTATTTTTAATCTGTGGAATCTGAGAAATGAGACAGATACTTTCCTAGTATCCATCCTTAAACTCTGGAACTGGCTTCTTTTTCTGATGGGATTTTTAAAATTTGTAGCTGTTCACATAAAATGGAGAGTGTTTTTTTTATTTAAATGATAAATGCCTCATAAAACCATGAAAGTTTGCTGACAGTATTGGTTACTGCCATCAAAACTTATAGTACCAAGCCCCTCAGTCTGTTGAAGAATTCATAAAAAATCAAAAAAGTATATATTTTGATGGCTTTTTAATAGCCTAAAGGTTTAAGATTTGTGTTGTGCCCTATTGTTCATTGTTTTATATTGCAAACACTTGAGTGAGTTTTTTTTTAAAACAAATAAACTGTTCCAGTTCAATTTTAAACTGCTGTACTTTTAATGTATTGTAGTGTTGAAATATCATTTGGAAAGCCCACGTGGAAAAATTGTGCACGCAAATTAGACATCGTTCAGTAGATCTTGCACAGTAATTTCATAGCAACTAAATAATTTATCAAAGATAACAAGGTGTAGAGCTGGATGAACACAGCAGGCCAAGCAGCATCAGAGGAGCAGGAAAGCTGATGTTTCAGGCCTAGACCCTTCTAACCCCACTGCAGCAGTTCCTACTACCTCTGAAATAATTTATCAAGCTGTCTTATAATCAATTTCATAGTCGTTTCTTTCAAACCTTCTCATTATCCTTGTTTGTTTTGTAATGCTTGTTTGTTCATGATATTAAGTTAACAAACTTCAGAGTTCAAGATGTCAACATGATGAAAGTTATTTTGTTTGATGAAGCTTTAGGAAGGTTTTGAAAAGAAAACCCGTTTGTTTGAACAAAGACCTGTGCTCAATGTTATTTATATCTTCATTGAATGTGCTGCGCTGAGCCCAAACTGCAGTGAAAAGTATCATTAATTCTTCTGTGCACATTGTGTTCTCTTAAAATAGAACATTATTCCCAAATACTCAGTGACTGTTTTCTCCATTCTTTTAACCTATCTCCAAAGAAATCACCTTAAGTGAAAGTAACTTTCTCCTTCCCTATTGTCACATCCATTAAAATGAAAGGGTAAAAATGTCATATCAGTAACAAAGAGTACATCAAAACCGATGATTTGTCTATTGTCCACGCACTTTTTGTAAGACTATTTTGAATATAGTTGGTTGCTGTTCTTGTATAGTTTCCACTTAAAACCACTTCCATGGCACTATAAATGTAAAACAAAATTGAGAAAACAAGCGAGTAAGGACTAGCTGTGGACACAATTCTGCATTGTTATGACAGAGTTGGAGTGTTTAAAAACTGAATGTACTGAACTTACCAAATTGTTTTCAATCTGGATATTTAGTTGTTTCAGGTGGTAACATGAACATCCATGGTGGCAACTATTCATTATTCCAAAATGGCTTCAGGAAATACTTCAACATATTTCAATCCATGGTGCAGTCATTCCTTTTGTTATCCAAATAAACCACTCAGTGGTAAGAGATTATCTCATTTTCAGCTGGCAAGAAGATGAATCATTGGTTATATTTGCTTTATGGTCCACTTTATTAATGGTCTCACAAATCAGTGACCCAGCTCTCGTCCTCATGTATACAAAATAAGTCTGTTCACTGAGTGCTTTGTACCAATTCATTGAAGATATAAGAAACTATATTGCAAAACTATGAAGAGTTGTACTTACGACCTTCAGGATCTTCCAACACTCTGCATCAAGAAGTTTCAGAAATATCGCAGATGCCACAAGTCATTGCCTAAACCTTTAAGTATTTTTCCTTCAATATTTGGCAAATGCTGTTGGAAATAAGGCCTGTGCAATCATCACTACCATTTCAAGACCTCATGTGCATGGGTTCATGTTCCCTTCCATTATGTGGTAATTATTGAGCCTCTGTTTATAACAATTGTGACCCTCTCATACCCACTGCCTGGCTCATTACTATCTAATTCACCTTACCTCATCCCACTTCCAGTAATGTCTTCTGATTTAAGCTACTGATGGTTTAAGCGTAAACCTCTCACTTTCTTCCTTTGAAAACCTTACCCTTATGCATTCCTCTTTTCACATGTCCAAGGCACTAGAGGAACAACAGACAATAATGATGATGACACACGATCACTCAATTTACACTCGCAAGCATCAGCCCAGAACCAGATACTTTACACAGAGGGAACCATTGATGTGGGATGTGTAAGGTGAGACACTGGCCTGAGTGCATTTCAGGAAACAAAGATAACACTTGTCCTCTCCCTAATACTGCAGCTTCTCAACTATTTTCCATGTGTCTGGTGACAGGTACTGTACTGTCCGGTCCACCATGCAACAAACTACCATGAATTTTGACATCATCTCTGCTGAGTATTAAGAGTAGCCCAGGCAGCTAAAGTGCTTATTCAACCTCAATCTTCTGCTTTAGCATACTTTGTGTGGCAGCATGGCTTGGTCTGCCTGGACTGCTCTGGAGGAGTTCTGTAATAATAGAGATGATATCAAGATTAATGGTAGTATGTTGCATGGTGAACATGAGTGTGTGGTACTTGACAGCATAGTTTTTCAAGTGTGTGTGTGCTTCGCATTGTGTGTGGGTTGCACAGTAGAGTCTTCTGCTATGTCAATAAAAGAAAGGCCTTGTCATCCAGTAACCACTCTTTGTTTTAGCTGTGCTGGTCCAAGTTCAGTTGGCATAGCAGACTGGTGCAAAATGTTCCCGTCATGACTACCACCAAAGCAACAAGTGTTAACATGCATCGTTTGTCGTCTATAGACAGTCGGATGATTTGGAGCAAGACTCAGCCAAATAGACTGTCACGTCTGCTCAGCTATTAAGTAAAGATGAACCTTGGCCTCAATACCACTTCCAAACTAAAGTTTAATTTCTCCTTGTACACTTAGGGTTCAGCAATCTATTGATTTCAGCCTAACCGAGCATCCATAATCCTATGGGGTAAAGAATTGCAAAGATTCAGGCAACTGCATGTTTAATGATTTTGGTAAAGAAAGAGAGTCTGTTGTTGGGGCCATAGTTTGCAAAGACAGAGGAGTAATGATTTGTTTCATTGACAAGTGTCTTTGGCAGATGTAAAGGGGAAAGGGTCAGTACCTGAGCTGAGGAAACTGTTGACGATGTCAGCTAACATGGGCTAAGCAGAAAAGTTGGGTAGTTAGCAACTTCATGGAAATTGGGTCAAGGAAGTGGGATTATGAGCCTTGTGGATAAGGTGATAAGAAACAAGTGGATGGAGAGTCTGAGGAGCGGTGCAAATGCAGAACTAAAATGGGGGAACCTTAGAGGAAATGTGTAGTGATGAAATGGAGAAAAAAGCAGCTGAATAAATAGTCTCAATTTTTGCCAAAAAATGATGTCTTGCAGGAGTTGATGAGAATCACACAATAAACTGTTGTAAGCCTGGACAAAGTATTCAGTTAAGTCTCAAGTGCCTCTCAGCTCCATCACAACTTTTATGAGTCTTCATTAGATTTGTTTGTGTTTTATGACATCTCATTTCCTTAGGCAATGCTGACTTCCCTCCAAAACAAGTTCCACTGACCATAATAAACAGTGTTAATTTGGATCACCGGTATAGCACTGGTTTTTAATTCAGTCTGAAAAATTATGATCATAATGATAGATATTTATGTAGTCTGTAGGTCAGTAAGATAATTGGTTTTCAATAGCTCTATCTATTTGAAAGCCGTTTTTGTTTGTTTTGAATCATCACATAGTTAATTTTGATCTTCAAGAAAACATGAATAAATGTGTTTCCTCTTAGGGATGGATATGTTGCTAAGACTATCAATACAGCTTGTTGGTACTGAGCACTAAGCATTTGACTGGATAATAAGCTTAGCTGTGTGCAGGCTCTCATAAATTTTTATAACGGACTTTAGTCTGATTTCAGTTTGAATAGGGCCTCTTTCTCTTGGTACTTCTTTCCTGATTACTGTGGCAATTAGCCAAATGATCAGGTTTTTCTCATTAGGCTGATGTCAGCATCTTTCACTAACCTTTCAGAACTGTTATGGGTCAATAGAGTCAAAAGTCTTCAAATGTTCAGCAAGTCACTGAGCATATATACAGAATAGATGGTCCTTGTGGGCTGCTTTTTACTTCCTAAAAATTAGAGTATTCTTTGAAGGAATTTATTTTTCAGCAGTTAACACTTTATTTGAATGTATATAATTTCTCTTGAATATGATTAATAGAATGATTGTGTTTTTTGCACATGATGTTATTGTATTTCAATAAATATTTCAAATGCAAAAAATAATTTCACAGAGGAAAGCAGCTTTAAGGTATTTATACTTTATTTAATAAATAACATTTATTGTAATGCTGGAGTATAAAGTTAGTATGTTGTGTCTTATAGCATTTTCTATACACATGAAATTGGAAACAAAATGGGATCTATGAACTCTTTCCTTACATTTAGAGCTGTTTTACAGCTGTATATTGTGATGCTGGTGCATTTTATTTGAGTTAATCTGAATTTCAGAATGTAGGACCTCCAATTGTGCTGCTTTAGCAGCTTTTGAATTGGACTTTATACTTTAACACACACACAAATAGTAAGCCGATTATTCAAAACAAATAAAAATAAAGAGTACATATAAATACTTCTGCAAAAGAACTGGTGGTGTTGATTAGCTCAGCATGATTAGCACAATCAGCATGGGGTTCAATCCCTGTTCTGGTTGAGGTAGACCCAGGTCTGCCTTCTCACCTCAGCCTATCTGTAGTTTATTAACAATCGTAGTACTCAAGCACGTTTCAGCAAATAGTTGCCACTGGGGAGAGAACGGAAAAAGGTAAGTGGCTTGCATATTGTGTAGGAATAATCTAGCTTTCATACAAATATAGGGAAAAGTCATGCAACAGAACAAATCCCAATTCCCACATAGGGCAACATTTGTCTGTGACAATATCTTTTCACCCACAATATTTAAAGCATATAGTAATGTCACAGAACAAGAATTATTTAACCTGTGTTCCATCAAAGTATTAACTGAATTAGTCATTAAGTAGATAAATAATGTTACTGAAATTGCAGAAGAAACTGCTACAAAAGGAGGGTTTTATCAGCCAGTAATTTATTATCTGTAACAAATGTAATTTTGACAAAAATTGTGTTACATTTAACAATCAGAAAGTTTATCTTTTCTTATCAGTTGCTTCAGAAAAACTATTTCCCTTCAAAGGTTTATAAGACATTGTTATATAAAAACAGTTGAGTATCTTTAACTGACTGATGATTTAATGCACCTTCAGTTTGCCTCTTGTGAAATTTTCACCTTTTCCAGTTCTTTGAGAGAAAGTGACACTGCTGACACCGATGGTAAAGAAATAATCACTTGAGTCGACAGGAAAATGCTAAAT